TTCTCTCTGTGGCTTTTTCAGAGACAAAGGAGGCCATGGTTTGGTAGGAAAGCATTTTGGCAACCACAACTGGTTGTACACACTGTTTATGTGTTTTGAAAAGAGTTATAAATCACTGAATGAGAGCAATTTTTCTTCCTTTCCTCCCATGCCCTCCCTTACCCTCCCATACCCTCCCATGCCCTCCCATGCCCTCCCATCCCTCCCATACCTTCCCCTTTTTCATACTTTGGGCTCAAAATTGGGACCAGATTTTAGAGGCTTCTTTCTATTTGGAAACTGTAGCCTGTGAAGTTACTTCTTGAGGTTGGAGTGATGGTGTGTTCTCCAACACATTTTCTCTAAAACACTTCACTGTCAATGTTTACATTAATTTTTAAGACCTGGACAAAATTACAGATTTTCTAACTTGAAAATGTGTTTAATGACTATTAAATGGATTAACAAAGTTCTGGAAACCTTTTCCTCTGCTGTGTGTGTGTGTGTGTATGTGTCTTAAAACTACAAGTGGGCCTTTGAAAACTGAAGGAAGCATCAGTTAAAATTATTTTGATTAGGAATGTTAGAAGACAAAGCTGGCTTGAGAAAAAAATCATTTAAAAGGATATAAAGGAGTTGAGAATGTAAGTCAGTTTGTAGATTCCTTGTCTATCATGTACAAGGTCCTGGGTGACACCCACAGCACCACATAAACCTGACATGGTAGAAGAGAACTCCACCAGGTGGTGGAGGCAGAGGATTGGGAGTTCAAAGCCATCCTTAGCTACAAAGTGAGTTTGAGACTAGCATATGAGCTACATGGGACAAAATCTGAAAATAAAATCAATTAAAACAAACAAACAAAAATGTTTAAAGAAGTCTCACCCTGGCTAAAAAGCCAGGCTTCAGAAAGACATTGGAATCAGGACCTACAATTATATGGGGAGCCCAGTGCCTGTCAGTCTGCCTGCCTGCCTGTCTTTCTTGCTCTCTTAGAAACCTTCAGAAAAAAATAAATCCATTCCACACTGAGATAATTTACATGGTATTTCTAGACACTAGCACACCTCTGTGCTAATTCCAGGATCCCAAAGAGAGAAAAGTTCACTAGGAGAGCTTCTAACTTTTAGGTCCCTCTGAAGAGTTTCTCAATCAAGAAGCCTCTGTGGTTGTCTATCAATATCTGGGCAGCTGAAAAATGGATACAAACTCTACTACAAAAATGTCAAAAAGGGGGGCTGCAGAGGTGGTTCAACGGTTAAGAGCAGTGGCTGTTCTTCCAGAGAACCTGGGTTCAATTCCCAGCACCCACGAGGCAGCTAACAAATGCATGTGACTCTAGTTCCAGGGGATCTGATGCCGTCACACCATTGCACATAAAATAAAGTTAAATAATTTTTTTAAAAAAAATGTCAAAAAGGGAAGGCAATTGTAAGCTCCAGGTCACCTCAGTTTCCAAGTCATGAGTGGATGTAAACTGTGGGCCTGCAGTCCCAATGAAACCAACTACAGCAGTCTGGGAAGGTATACCTATTTGCTTTCCTGCCTTCTGTACTTACAACAAAGGGAGAATGGAGGTTGATAGGGCTAGTTTTGCATATCTACCATAAGTGACATGCAGCTGACTCATCTGCTCCCCATAAGGGTGCCTGGGGCTCACCCTGTGGGTGGAAGAGATGACTGATGTATTGGGCAGATAATCCAAATGGAATTCACCACCCACCTGAGATCCTATCACAAGTATTTATGGAGTCCCATTTGTGGGTCTAGCACACTTGTCCCTCTGACTTTGAATTGAATCAGGAGCTGGAGGTGGGGGATGGTTTGCAAGAGCTTTTGTTTTGATTTTGCTGAGGAAAGTCTTCAGTCGCTCAATGCCTTGACTTAAAAGCAGTGTCTGACCTATCGTTTCTTTCCCTCTGCCCCATAGCTGCCCACATTGGTGTTGGAATAAGTGGACAAGAAGGAATGCAAGCTGTCATGTCCAGTGACTATTCTTTTGCTCAGTTCAGATATCTGCAGAGGTTGCTGCTGGTCCATGGCCGGTGGTCTTACATAAGGATGTGCAAGTTCCTACGATACTTCTTTTACAAGAACTTTGCGTTTACTTTAGTGCATTTTTGGTACTCCTTCTTCAATGGCTACTCGGCACAGGTAATAGAACATTAGTCCTTTAAAACTATTTGTTCAGTAGAACTTCTGCATAAATAAAATGCTAGTTCTTTTAAACATTTTATTGGTTGATTGTAAGTGCATCTCTGTAGGTGCGTATGTACCACAGTGCACATTGAGAGGTCAGAAAAACGACTCTGTAGAGTCAGTTCTCTCCTCCTATCTTTACTTGGTCTCCAGGGGTCAAACTTTGGTCACCAGACTTTTGTGGCAAGGGTCTTTGTCTGCTGATCCACCTTGCCAGTCCTCCTGAACTAGTTTTATTTTAGTATTCTTTTTCAAGTATTAAAAAAGTTTTAAATATTCCAATCGAGTTTCAAAATTATAATTCACTAACAAGAAAGTACATAACTGGTGAACATGACTGGAGAAATGTCTCAAGGCTAAGAGTACACACTATTCTTACTGAAGACCAGAATTTGGTTCCCAATACTCTTGTCAGGCGGCTCACACTACCTGTAACTCCCATTCCAGAGGACCCAAAGCCCTCTTCTGGTATTTGTGAGAATCTACACTCATGTGCACATACCCACCCACACTCATAAGCACACACATAACACATAATTTAAAGCTATAAAAAATTAATGAACACTGATTTTTCTAGTATTATCTGTCAGAATAGAGTCCTATTCTGACTAAAGCAAAGGCTTTAGCAAAACCTTTGGTAGTGTTCCCATGCACACATTTAAGGAAAGGGTTGGAGAAGATTGATGCTATGGAAAGCTCTGTGGTGCTACCCACTGCATAGACAAGCTCACATTTTGTACATGAGTAGCTGAGGAGTGCTTTCTCTTCAGAATAGCGTTCCTACTTGTCAAGGGACAATCCTGTATGGAGAAAGCAGACCTGCAATCTGTCTTTGTGCATGACACAGAGCCTCTGTCCTCCCTTTGCAGACGGCGTATGAGGACTGGTTTATCACCCTATACAATGTGCTGTACTCCAGTTTGCCTGTACTCCTCATGGGGCTGCTTGACCAGGTAGGAGCTGTGGGCTGGGGTGCTCTGAACAAACCCATCCACCTCCAGGGAGATGACAGCAAACACATCAGTACATTCTACCAGCTTTACTCATCCTGAGTCTGCCCTAGTCCACCTGTCAAACAACAATAACTGCTTCATGTTCTTTCAGGAAAAGAGTTTCTGTAACTCATCATTAGCAAGAGTGCTTATATGTTCCTTGCAGACATCTGGCTGTTCAGACTCCTGACAATCCAGCATGTTTTATACAACTTATTGATTTAAAAATCAATAACCTTTGATTAACTTAGCAATGTTAATTAACAATAATAACTTGTTGATTTAAAAAGTAAATTTTAACACTTTCCAAAGTTGGTATATTTAATTCCTAAATCACATTTTGAAGGACAAGCCAGTCTTAGGAAATGAATAACTAATAATAAATAAATGGGGGTAATTAAGGGTTAGTTTATCAATTTCTATGTGAGTATTCTTCCTCTAGATCTGTAATAATACAAATTCATTATCTCAGGAGGTTAAAAATAATCTCCACATATTTTTTGCCATTACTAATTGATTGTCTTTGCTAGTGCCGTAATAAAACCCCCATACTACTCTCTGTAAACATAAAATACTGGTGATCGCTTCATGATTGATGTCTCCACACAGAAATACTGATCTGGCTTCCTGCTTGCCTTTCTAAAACACAGGTGCAAGTGGCAGCTGTTTGTGAGATACAAGATACAAATTGTGACAAACCCACATGTTTACCTAATGGTATTCACTAATCGTTCTAACTTTGTTTTCTCTTTAAGGATGTGAGTGACAAACTGAGCCTCCGGTTCCCCGGGTTGTATGTAGTGGGACAGAGGGACTTGCTGTTCAACTACAAGAAATTCTTTGTCAGTTTGCTGCATGGCGTCTTAACATCCATGGTCCTCTTCTTCATACCACTTGGTGCTTACCTACAAACAGTGGGACAGGATGGAGAGGCACCTTCAGACTACCAGTCCTTTGCTGTCACAGTGGCCTCAGCTCTAGTAATAACGGTCAATTTTCAGGTATGTGCCTTTTCTTGACCATATCCTCTATCTGTTGTTACCTGCATGTCTGTCACTTAAAAAAAAAAAAAAAAAAGGAAGGAAAGAAAAGAAAAGAAAAGAAAAGAAAAGAAGAGGAAGAATGTTCTTTCTGTCCCTCATCTTAGCATAGTTCCTTTGTCTTGCTTGAGCCAAGGATGGTTTGGTTTCAGGTTGTTGACTGGTCAAACCCAAATTGCCAAATTCTGTTTTCAGAATTCTTAGATCCTTTCTCTTCCTGTTGCATCCCCAAGTGAGTACTCTGTTTTTCTCTGGTTTCTCAACAGATTGGCTTGGATACTTCCTACTGGACCTTTGTGAATGCTTTTTCAATTTTTGGAAGCATCGCCCTGTACTTTGGCATCATGTTTGACTTCCATAGCGCGGGAATACATGTGCTCTTTCCATCTGCATTTCAGTTCACAGGTTGGTATCTCTCAGATTCCAAATGTTTAAGTGTAGATCAACATCACTAGGTTACATTCTGATATAATCACTGGATAAGTTCGAAAGTAAATAAAGCATAAAAGTTTGCTAGTAGGGGGCTGGAGAAATGGCTCAGAGGTTAAGAGCACTGGCTGCTCTTCCAGAGGTTCTGAGTTCAATTCCCAGAAACCACATGGTGACTCATAACCATCCATAATGAGATCTGGTGCCCTCTTCTGGCCTGCAGGCATACATGCCAGAACACTATACATAATAAATAAATCTTTTTTAAAAAGATGTTTTAAAAAAGTTTGCTAGTAAAGATTAGTAGTAGCTGTTTGGAAGGGTCTAAGCAAGTTATGTCATATTAAGACATAACTCTGCATCTGTTAAATTAGATAGCTTGGACCATCAAGATCAATCAGCAGGTTAAAGTCCCTGCCACCAAGCCAGTGGCATTCTTCGAGGTTCACATGGTGGAAACAGCGAATGAACTCCCCAAACAAGTTGTCTTCTGACCTCCACCTACAAATTGTGTTCACACACACACACTTATACACATGCTCACATATTTACACATATACTCATCACTCACATAGCCACACACACACACACACACACACACACACACACAGTCACACACTCACACAACATACACCCATGCTCACACACACACATGCTCATACACACACACCCTTTTACTCACATACTCATATATACAAAATAAACATAAAAATCAATTAAGCTTTTTTTTTTTTAAGATGAAAAGGTAGGGCTAAAGAGATGAGTTGGTGGCTGAGTGCATACTGCTCTTGAAGAGGACCCAAGTTCGGTTCCCAGGAACTGATTAGGTGGCTCCCAATTGCTTGTAAGTCCAGTTCCAGAGGATCCATGTCCTCTTCTGGCCTCTGCAGGCAACACACACGCACGCACGCACGCACGCATGCGTGCACAGCTCTTACACAATTTTAAAACATAATTTTATGCACAGCAGTAGATTACCAACACAAAATGAACTCAGTGGCATTCTGGAGGTTCTTTGTACAGTAGATTGCCAACACAAAATGAACTCAGTGGCATTCTGGAGGTTCTTTGTATCACAATGCATTTTATGGTCTTTGTTTTTTAACATTACAGCTCCTTTTTGTATATATTATGGTTTATAGTTTTGTGTTTCCATGAATTTTTCTGTATATATGAACGTGTGTGTCTCTGTGTTTCCTGCGCTTTTTCTGTGGTTCTTTTTTTGGACTGTTTTTTTGTTTTGACCTATTCTGACTTGTTTTTATTTTACTATATTTTTAAATGCCTGTTTGTATTCTAATGAGAGAGAAAAAAAATGTTGTGGATTTGAGTGGGTGGGGAGCTAGAGAGGATCTAGGAGGAGTTGAGGGAGGGGAACTTTAATTAGAATATATTATATAAAAATCTATTTTTTGTCTTTAAGTCATAGCATTTATTGGGCCACACAAATTATCAATAAATATATTCCTTCCTCCTTTTTTATTCATTATTTTTAATCATCATTCAACATCTTCCCCTCTATTTTTTAATAAACTTCTTCCATTTAATCTTTCTTATTTTCCTGCATTTGTCTATGTAATTTTCCACATCTACCTTATGCATTATAAAACTCTATTTAAAATTAAAAATTAAAATGAAATTCAAATTGTATCAACTAAAAATAATAAATAAAACATGATTTTTTAAAATAATAAAAAATTAAACAGAACATTAAATGGCTGGGAATGGTGGCATGTGTATGTAATCCAAGCCCATAAAGATAGAGGAGGATTGCTCCAAGTTCAAGGCTAGCCTGGTCTAGATAGTGAGCTCCAGACCAGCTGGGCTACACAGCAAGTCTCTGCCTTTACAGAAAGAGGTGAAAAGAGGAGGCAGCAGATAAACAAGGCCTTTCCTCCACTCCCACAATACCCAATATTAGTAATTATGAAAAATGTAGTGCACATGTATTACCGAAAGAACTGTAGTGTAGTTTAATCTTTCCAAAACACTATCTGAAAATGCACAATGAATTATAAAACTTTTCATGCATTTTGACCAGGTATTTCTACTCTAAGGTTCCTTGTACAAAAACTGTATTGCTATGACAGTTTTAGTTATTTTTTAAAGGAGGGGGTAGAAATAGGTCAAAGACTTAAGAATATTAAATTAACTAATCAAACATCAAAATAGTAATACCATGGAAACCTAGAACTCAAAAGTTGGGTCCATCTTTGGAACAACAGTTCAATTAATGATAAACAGAGCTATGGGACCAATGATTATACCTATGTAAAATGGCTTAAGCTCCAGAGGTTGGGGCTGGAGAGATGGCTCAGCAGGTAAGAGCACTGGCTGCTCTTCCAGAGGATCCAGGTTTGATTCCCAGCACCCACATGGCAGCACACAGCTGTCTGTGACTCCAGTTCCAGGGGACCTGACACTTTCATACCAATACACATGTAAAATAAATTTTAAAAATGCATTGTATGAAATTCTCAAAGTATTAATGAAACTGTTAAATTTTTAAAAGGTGGCAAATTGACAAGTGACAGAATCCCAACTGATGTAAATATCACAAATATAAAAATAGATTTGAGCTGGACTTGGTGAGATTCTCAAATAGTTTGGATTTATGATGAAAAAAAAATTCCCATAACCTTTTTTTTTTTTTTTTTCTGCAAAGAAGATTGGGACTTCATGGCCAGTTGCTGGGTCATAAAAGATTGTTGCTATGGTAACGCTTTTCATCTCTGGATGGAGATCATTTTCATAAATTTTTTTTGGTTATTTTGAAACAGGGTTTCTCTGTATAACAGTCCTGGCTGTCCTGGAACTCACTCTGTAGACCAGGCTGGCCTCAAAAACTCACAGAGATCGACCTGCCTCTGCCTCCCAATACTGGGATAAAAGGCGTACACCCCCATCATCCAGCTAGTTTCCATAATTGTAGGGGTTTTTCCCTTACTTTTTAAATGCTTACTTAGAATATTTCTATGTGAAATATTTTTAAATCTAATTTATATTTAGTAGTTTAAAAACAAAGGTTGTGCAAGTGTTTGTCTGTGTACACATATGCATAAATATGAGTAAAACTTTAAAAACTAGAAAGAAGAAGAGAGGGTAAAAATACATGGCAAGGGAGGATGGAAGATGGACAAAAGGGACATGAAAGAGCAAAAGATGGGGGGACTTCTGTTTGGAGATTAAGAATAATTGTGGAAAGACAAGTGGGAGGCAGACTACTAAAACACACTGTTTCCAGAATGCTGCGATGATACCCAATACCTTGTGTGCTAATTTAAAAAATAAAAGAGTTTCAATTAGAAAAATTAATTTCATAAATTCTTGTAAGTACAGAAATCATTGTGATAAATTTGGCTCTAGATATTTGCTGTTGGGGAAATGTATATGATCACCTGTACATATTAGAAATCAAATGGCTACTTCTGATGTAAAAGCCTAGACAGCAAATCTCTAGCTTCTGCCGATAAAACATGCCTCCAGTCACAGAGCCGGTTTCAGTCTTGGGGCTGCCATGACTAGCTGTATTTTCTTGGGCAAATTTACTAAGTTCTCAAGTCAGTTTCCTGGGGTGACCCAGACGGTCGCTTCCACTGCTCAGAGTAGATTGAATGACGTGACCTGTATAAAACACTGTGGGCTGCCAATATTTGGAGCTTCCAGCCAAAACTGGAAGGTAGAAGGTGTTTTGTTCATTTTAACTTTTTTTGTTTGTTTGTTTTGGGAAGTCTCTATTGTCAAATGATCCCAGAGCCTGGCACTCTCGAAGTATCAGCTCTGCCTTCAAGTTACATCCCAGCTCTGATTTTCCATTGTTTATTGGTACAGCATTAACAAAAGCATCTTCCCCATTTGTTCCTGTTTATCTACTTGTAGCAATCAACTGACCCTTCTTATTTGGCTTTGTTGGGTCTTAGGTTTAAAAAAAAAAAAAAAAAAAACCGCATTCATGACTGGGTGTGGTGGATCACACTTGTAATCTTGGCACCCTGAAGGCTGGGGGGTTGGGGGGGGGATGGATATGACATGGACCCTGTCTCCAAAACAAAAACAGAAAGCAGAAAAAAATGTTCATTTCTGGAACAGTTTGTGGGGGTAAATCTGGTTATAAAATGTTACCCTAGACAGTCTGCTCAAGTATATGGAAGGCAAACTATGACCTTAGCACCAAAGTGTCTCTGTAAGTCATTGCCATGTTCTTTCCAGGTACTGCTTCCAATGCCCTGAGACAGCCATATATTTGGTTGACCATCATCCTGACTGTTGCAGTATGCTTATTGCCTGTTGTTGCCATCCGTTTCTTGTCAATGACCATTTGGCCATCAGAAAGTGATAAGGTACAGACCTACTCTCCTCCTATTTGAGTGTCCCTTCCAGTGGTCAAAGCATTTCCCAATACTACCTTTCCTGCAGCTTTCTCAGTTCATGGGAACTCTGATCAGACTTTTGGTGTTTTACTATTTCTCTTTAATTCCATCTTGAAAGATAGTGAACCTTCATATAATTTGTCCATACAATGTAGCATGTTTTGACCCTTCCGTTTTACAATTATATTAACTTTTTGCCATGCAAATGGGTTGGGTCCCACACACACACATTATTTAAAGCAAAATGTTATCTCCTATAATATAATCAGTGTCTCAAAAATAACATGTCATCTGCCCTTGCATAATGACTAGCAGACTTCAGGCCCAGTTGGTTGAGCTATTTGATGTTGCTTTTTTATAACTCTCCTGAGGGGAATGTCTTCAGTATTAGTTTCATCGTGTGCTAGAAAACAGCCATGGTAGTTGCTGGCATCACATCTGATATGCTGATAATAAACAGGAGAAAAGAGGAGGCTTCCATTCCTTCCCTCAGCATCCTGAGAACTTTTAATACACACTTTTCTCAGGTCTCATCTGTCAAGAGTTAGGTTGCATAGTTTGTTGAACTAATACCTAGCAAGGAAGAAAGCTTCATGTTTTATGAAAGATGCTACTATAGAGGAAGGAGCACCCACTTTTATAAATCAGCATATTATTGAAATGCAGGAAGTGGATGTTGGGTAAGCCCCCTTCAGTGCCCAGGAGAACATTGACAGTCGACAGCGTCAGGTAAACAAGAGAGGAGACTGGGGCTGGGTTGGTAAAGTGCTTGCAGGGCAAGTGTGAGGACTTGAGTCTGGGTTGCAGCATACACATAAACAACTTTACCTGGCACCCTGCATGCACCGGTAATTCCAGAGCTGGGGAGGTAGAGGCAGGAGGATTCCTGGGACTTTACTGGCCAGACAGCGTAGCTGAATCTGTGAGCTCCAGAATTGGTTCCAAGAGAAATCCTGACTCAAAAATTAAGGTGGAAGTGATTAAGAAAGATACCAGACAACCAACAATCCTCCATAGCCATGTGTATTCATGTTTGTGTATGTGCATACACACACACACACACACACACAAACACACACAGAGAGAGAGAGAGAGAGAGAGAGAGAGAGAGAGAGAGAGAGAGAGAGTATATAGTAACATGAAGGAAAAACCTGTAGAGGTTTGTCTTCAACATATGCCCACGTACCCTGGGATTCACAAAGAGTGCTGTTCTGTTGTTTTCCATAGCTCTGATAAGCACCATGGCCAACTTCTTAGGGGAAAACAGGTTTACTTCAGCTTGTAGCTCCTACCTAGGCCTCAGTCTATCACTTAGAGAAGTCAGGGCAGGAGGTCAAATGGGAACCTGGAGTCAGAAACTAAAAGCTGGCTTGTTCTCCAGGACTTGCTCAGCTTGCCTTCTTACACTATGCAAGATCATTTGCCCAGGGGTGGAACTCTCCCAGTGAGCTGGGCCCTCCCGTATCAACCATTAATCAAGAAAATGCCCCATAGACAGGCCAATCTGATGGAGGTGTTGTCCTAATTAATATTTCTTCTCAAATGACTCTAGATTGTGTCAAGTTGACAGAAATGAGCCACTAATTTAGGAAAAGTGAGGGACTTGGTTTTCCTGGAACTTGCAAGGTAGACCAGGCTGTCCTCCAAGACACCTCCACCTTTTGAGTACAGGGGCCAATGGTGGGATTAAAGGCATGTATCACCATTGTGTGGCTCTATGGCTGTGGCTGGCTTTGCATTTTGATCCTCAGTGGCTTTACTAGATCATAAACAATATATCACCACAGGCTACCACGTCTGGCCATAGTTTCCCAATTTCTACCTGTAGGATGATAGAAGCAGTTCCCAACCTCCTGGGTCCTCCATATCCAGTTATCCTGCTGAGTGGGACATTTGTGCATGCATAGGGATATGCTTGCAGCCCCTTGGTGGGAGCTAGCTTCTGTTCAACTCCTGTTATCCAGGAGTCCTCTGCTTCTCAGAACTTTCTTTTCATGGTTTCCTTTACCCAGATCCAGAAGCATCGGAAGCGATTGAAAGCTGAAGAGCAGTGGAAACGGCCGCAGAACGTGTTCCGGAGGGGAGCATCTTCCAGGCGCTCAGCCTATGCCTTCTCGCACCAGAGGGGCTACGCGGACCTCATCTCCTCAGGCCGCAGCATCCGCAAGAAGCGCTCGCCCCTGGATGCCATCATCGCAGAAGGCACCGCTGAGTACAGACGTACAGTGGAGAGCTGAAGGCTGGGGAAATGTCTTTTTTTTTTTTTCCAAATGAAAGACTCAGGACCTTTTTTTAAAAAACAGACAAACTGAATTTGTCACAAAGCTACCGAGGACAATAAACTTCTAGGGTTGAGCTGTTAAGCAGTAGCAAAGCCAAGCCACCAACTGTTACTCAGCTGATTATGTCTGCTGAGATTCAAAGGGAACATCTTAATCCAATAGAGGACAGCAGAATTTAGAAAACTCTCCGTTTCAGCTCAAAGGACACTACTGCACTATAAAATTACAATTACACTGTCCTATCTGCGGCCCCAAGCATGGATTTCTCAGATGCACTTCCTACTGCTTTGTCACTTTGTTGTTTTTTTTTAAAAAGCTCTTTTTAATTTATGAGTGTAGTAACCAAAAATTCGTAATACTTATCACCTGACACAAAGTGGTTTAGTGACTTTTTCAGAGTTTGTGAATGGCTTCATGTTGCTTTATACCAAGTTATAAAACTTAAGACAATTGTCCTTGATTGAATGATTAAATGCAATGTTTCATTCTGGTTTGATGTACTACAGGCTCAGTAACACATTACATATTTTTACTATTTCATCTTTTAGCGTTTCCCTGAAGTACCAAGTGGTTTGACTCCCTACTTTAATTTTCCAAAATTGATTTTTAAAATCTGAAGACATTA